TTTCTATGAGAGAACGCACACCAAGGTTGCAGTGACGCGCGGCGACGCTGGACCGGGCGTCACGATTCAGTTTTGTTGAATCCAGACGCGGCGCCGCGGCTGAAACTGTCCCTCCAAGCACCCGTAGTTTTCTTCTTCTGCGCTTCTTATCACGTAGCTGTGAGCGCGGTCTCAAATTTACACACTTGTCGGCGCTATTGCTCAAGTAAACCGGTCACAATGGACGAGGAAAGCTTGATAACCCAAGTACAGCGTTACCCAGAGCTAGTTATTAGCCTGTTTAAAAAATGGGTCCAAATAGTCTTTTCTTGTAATATTTGCCAGCATAATTTCACGTAAATACTTTGTTTCCTCCCCCAAAATATTAGTAGAAACTTCCAAACGTCACTCACCCATTTCATCTGCGATCAGCTGGAAAAGGACGCTAGCCAAGGCGTTCCGGTGTAATTTGACACATGTCATGAACGCGCGTCAAATGACGCGCCGCGAGGCGCTGCGTTTCGGTGTGCGGTGAGCTTTAGAGGAAGGTCAAGCTGGGACGTAACTTTCTAACCACAACGATAGAATCACTACTTCCTGGCTGTTAAACAGTTTGGATATCACTAGTCTTCACATCATGAAATGATGGCCTCTCGCATGTTTAGATCCAGGGCTCTTTCTTATTGTTACAACACAAGAAGTTAACTCAAATTCAGCGAGACATGGAGAGTAAAGAGGGGTTTTTTGAACAGAAGAATGTTAATTGAACTGGAGCAGGTGGATTGTTGGGGCAGGTGAGTAATAGCGGAGGGAAGCAGGTGTGATGGCTAGCAACTGACATGAGAATCTGGAGGAAAGCATTAAAAACAACAATCAGACAAGGTATCTCAAAACAAGCAGAAAAATAGAAAAAGGCCTGAGAATTCAATTGTAGAAGCATGCCCAGGCTTATGTACAGTACTATGGTGATGATTAAGACAGGTGTGCTGGCCAATCAGGAACAGGGAGCAGAGGCAGCGACGCCTACAACAGCAGGAACAGGAAGGAGGGGGTGAGGATCACACATAGAGCTCAGTATTGTAACACTTAAGAGTTTATAAAAGATAGATTGCTTTCTAAAAAGATGAAGACATAATGTGATTTGTGCATTTTAATTTCACAAAACTTTTACTGTTAAAGGCCTCAGAAGCAACTTCTTCATTACTCTCCGACTGCCTGTGTCTAGTCCCTAGACCAATGACATCTCTTGCCATCCCCACGTTGATGGAGTGAACTAATATTTGGATTAATATTTTGTGCGCCCAGAGGGAGAAGAGGCTGTTCGTCAGCCCCCAGAGTTAACATACAGTACTTGCGAACCTTTCAACATTTCGCCACATTTCAGGCTTCAAACATAAAGATACAAAAAACATTTTTTTTGTCAAGAATCAACAACAAGTGGGACACAATCGTGAAGTGGAACAAAATTTATTGGATAATTTAAACTTTTATAACAAATAAACTGAAAAGTGGGGCGTGCAATATTATTCGGCCCCCTTGCGCTAATACTTTGTAGCGCCACCTTTTGCTGCAATTACAGCTGCAAGTCGCTTGGGGTATGTCTCTATCAGTTTTGCACATCGAGAGACTGATTTTTTCCCATTCTTCCTTGCAAAACAGCTCGAGCTCAGTGAGGTTGGATGGAGAGCGTTTATAAACAGCAGTCTTCAGCTCTTTCCACAGATTCTCGATTGGATTCAGGTCTGGACTTTGACTTGGCCATTCTAACACCTGGATATGTCTATTGATGAACCATTCCATTGTAGATTTGGCTTTATGTTTTGGATCATTGTCCTGTTGGAAGATAAATCTCCGTTCCAGTCTCAGGTCTTTTGCAGACTCCAATAGGTTTCCTTCGAGAATGGTCCTGTATTTGGCTCCATCCATCTTCCCATCAATTTTAGCCATCTTCCCTGTCCCTGCTGAAGAAAAGCAGGCCCAAACCATGATGCTGCCACCACCATGTTTGACAGTGGGGATGGTTTGTTCAGGGTGATGAGCTGTGTTGCTTTTACGCCAAACATATTGTTTTGCATTGTGGCCAAAAAGTTAGATTTTGGTTTCATCTGACCAGAGCACCTTCTTCCACATGTTTGGTGTGTCTCCCAGGTGGCTTGTGGCAAACAGTGCACGACTGATTGTTGTCCTATGGACAGACACTCCCACCTCAGCTGTAGTTATCTGCAGTTCATCCAGAGTGATCATGGGCCTCTTGGCTGCATCTCTGATCAGTCTTCTCCTTGTTTGAGATGAAAGTTTGGAGGGACGGCCGGGTCTTGGTAGATTTGCAGTGGTCTGGTAGATTTGCAGTGGTCTGGTCCTTCCATTTCAATATAATTGCTTGCACCGTGCTCCTTGAGATGTTTAAAGCTTGGGAAATCTTTTTGGATCCAAATCCGGCTTTAAACCTGGTATGTTCCTTTGTCTTCATGGTTCTCTCTGCGCTTTAAACAGAACCCTGAGACTATCAAAGAGCAGGTGCATTTATACGGAGACTTGATTACACACAGGTGCATTCTATTTATCATCATCAGTCATTTAGGACAACATTGAATCATTCAAAGATCCTCACTGAACTTCTGGAGTGAGTTTGCTGCACTGAAAGTAAAGGGGCCAAATAATATTGCACGCCCCAATTTTCAGTTTTTTATTTGTTAAAAAAGTTTAAATTATCCAATACATTTCATTCCACTTCACGATTGTGTCCCACTTGTTGTTGATTCATGACAAAAAATAAAATTGTTATATCTTTATGTTTAAAGCCTGAAATGTGGCGAAATGTTGAAAGGTTCAAGGGGGCCGAATACTTTCGCAAGGCACTGTATGGGACGTCGCAATGATGTTGTAGTGGAGTATGACTCAGGCTTCACTCAGCCCAAAGTTAAATAGTAACTCACTGGGCTCTTTCTAAAGCCTAGTTTATACTCGCGCGGCGCGGAGCTTACGGAGGTGATGTGACGTCACTTGCGCTACGCGTTGGTCACCGCAAGGCCCTTACGTTGCCTGCCGCGCAGCATCGAAATTTTCTAACTACGTAAGGGTCGCCGCAAGAATCTCCGCTGTGATTGGTCCGTGTGTGTGTATTGGAAGGAAGCACGGAGCGGCTGCAGCAGGGACATGGACGAGGCACTATGGAGCAGACTGCTTCACGCTTCGAAGGAAAAGCAGTTTGGGCTCAGAGCCTGATATACAGGAGACTGTGGACTATCTAACATATACTATGAATATGACTTATAAACTGTGCAATCGTTTGTTTTGCACTGTTCCTGTCTTTGTTTGAATCGTAGCTGCGTTTGTTGCTTTCCTCCTGCACTCGTAAATCGTTCATGTTTGTCTCAGATATTTACCACTATTATTGTTTTGCTGTTTGTGCTGAAAACTATTTAATAATAACTGTTTCCAACAAGAACTGTCTTTATTCACAGCATCACAGTTGAAATTACTTATAAAATAATGAATCCATAAAACTATCACATAAACCTACAGTAGAAAAACGTGTAATGAGCTCAAACAGCTGTTTGCTATTGTTGTTCTGAAGAGGACAAAGTAGCAGCGTAAATGGGACCGCTCCTGTGTGATCGCCCTCATGTGGTTTGTGGTGGGATTACAAAATTCTCCTCAAAACTCCGTAAGGGGAACGCGCCAGTATAACATCAATTGTGCTTACGTAGGTCCACCTCAACCGCTAACGTAAGCCACGCAGCGCAAGTATACACTAGGCTTTAGTGTGACGTGAGGGTGTAGAGAAAGGAAGATTTAACAGCTCCAGCAACGCCAGGTCGTCTAGAAACCAACCAAATATGTTGTATACTTAAAGGCACATAAGTTGTGGACATAGGAGACGCGAGACTGTACTTACAAAACAGGTCACAAGTTTATTTTGACAATTATAATTTAAGTACAGCAAATAGGCCTTTAATAGAAAAACTGTTAAAAAGGTATTTTTAAAATGGTGGCAAATCAGGACACAAGAACAAAAAGAAACAAATAGTAATGTAACTGAAACAAATCATGCAATAAAAGAAAACAAACAGCAAGCCATGCAAATAAAGCAAAAAAAAAAAGGAAAAAGCCATGCAAAAAGCATGCAAAGTCAAAAATAAGGGACACAAAATCAAGACAAACTCACCCCACAACTCAAAATAAACCAAAATAAACCTAAATAAACAAAAAGAAAAGTTGTTTACGAAGGTCCATGTGCCACAGGACGTGCCCTTTAGACTGGAGCACTCGAGCGCTCGTGCACACTGCAGCCTGGCCCGGACTGGCCATCGGGAGCATCGGGAGATCTCCCGGTGGCCTGCGTGTCAAAGTGGCCTGGGCGTTCATTGAACACGCTCATTTTTTCGTGAACGTTGAACTGAACGCAACACATTTTTTAATAAAGAACTTGAACGTGAATTAGTTCATATTATGTGTCATGAACGGCAGACAATTTGTTTTCCATTTAAAACTGAGTGAAATCTGTTTTCTCTTTTGAAACGCAACGAGAGAAATTTCCTCCCTCCTGTATTCTCCGCACTGTTTCCGCCGAAAACTAAAAATTCCTACGGTTTCCACCGTCTGTGAACGCACCCCGACTCAGTGTACTTGCGGTGCGGCGCTATTGAGAATGAGGAGTTGACGTCACGGCACAGAGTCCCCCCTCCCCATCCCCCCTTTGCCGACATATTGGCTGCGCACCGGTGGCGGCAGTACAGTTTGTTTACGTGTGTTGTGAACGCGGTAGTAGCGGAGGTTCTTGCTATTCCGCACTGTTTTATCATGCCTGGAAATAACTGCTGCGTTAAAAACTGCTCCAATACCTCCCACGATGGATATGGAAAACCTAGTAACAACGGGATACAGTTTTTTAGGTTACCGAAATGGAAAAAGCATCAAGGGGAGCAATTCTCTGACCTGACAAGGAGACGTCGGATTGCTTGGTTGGCTGCAATTAGAAGAAAGGACCTTACTTTCGATCACACACCCCTGTCGACGAGAGTGTGTTCTCTGCATTTTCACTCTGGTACGTTCTCTAAAAATGTATTTATGTAGTTGTCTCTTAAAGCTAGGAAGTGTAGGTTAGCATATGTTATTATGGTTTCTGTAGTGCCTTTGTCTCTGTGTCTTTGTTACCCTCTCAGGCTGTTTCTTACTTAGCACGTGTTCTGCGAGGTCTTTGCCAGTGTAAAGCATAGATTACATAGATTGTACACATAATCTAATTATTCTGTTGTACATAAACCTTCATATGACATTATGAGGTGACCTAAAAAGTACTTGAGATGCTGTTCATGACATAGTTGCCAGTTTAAAGCATTGATTACATAGATTGTGCAAATTATTATATTAATTATATGTTGTTATTATTCTCGTGTAGGTAAACCAGCATATGAGATGTTGGAGAACCACCCTGACTGGACACCATCCCTGTTGTTAGGCCACAATGATGTACAAAAAACAGATGAAGCGAGATATCAGCGGCAAGTAAGGCGCAGGTCCCTGCCACTGGAGCGGCAGCCACCTCCAGCCCAACACCAGCCGCAGGCGCCGCCGCCTCCAGCCCTAGACCAGCTGCAGCCGCCACCAGCCCTAGACCAGCTGCAGCCGCCACCAGCCCTAGACCAGCCGCAGGCGCCGCCGCCACCAGCCCTAGACCAGCCGCAGGCGCCGCCGCCACCAGCCCTAGACCAGCCGCAGGCGCCGCCGCCACCAGCCCTAGACCAGCCGCAGGCGCCGCCGCCGCCAGCCTTAGACCAGCCGCAGGCGCCGCCGCCGCCAGCCCTAGACCAGCCGCCAGCTGACCCGGACATGGAATGTGGACTCTGCACATCTAGACGAGATGTTATCAACAATCTTCTTGAAGAAAACAGACAGCTGAAGCGTGAGCTTGATACGTACCGGATGAATGAGAACTTTCTGAGTGGTGATGATAACACAGTGAAGTATTACACGGGGCTTCCAAACTTTGCATTGTTCCAGACACTTCTACTCTACCTAACTCCAGATCTGCCTCAAGGTAGAATGAAGAAGCTCTCACCCTTCCAGCTTGTCCTATTGACTTTAATGCGCCTCAGACTGGACCTTCCAATACAGCACCTCAGCCATCTGTTTAGAGTACATAGGACAACAGTCGCCGATGCCTTTCACCATACCCTTGGTGTGATGTACGCACAGCTGTGTCCATTGGTGCACTGGCCAAGTAGGGAATGCTTATTGACCAGTATGCCACACCAGTTTGTGGAGTCATTTGGGAACAATGTGGCTGCCATTGTGGACTGCTTCGAGGTGTTCATCGAGAAACCTTCCAATGTACTAGCAAGGGCACAGACTTTTTCTCAATACAAACACGCATACACTATGAAATACCTAATCGTGATCACGCCCCAGGGTGTAATTTCCTTCATATCGAACGGGTGGGGTGGGCGCACAAGCGACAAGCATATAACCGAGCAAAGTGGTTTCCTGAACAAGCTGTTACCAGGTGACATTGTGCTGGCAGATAGAGGCTTTAATATAAGAGAACATGTGGGCATGATGTGTGCTGAAGTGAAAATACCTACATTCACCAGGGGTCGTGCTCAGCTTGAGGCGAAAGATGTGGAGGAGACTAGGGCCATAGCACATCTCAGAATTCACGTGGAGAGGGTGATCGGTGTTGTGCGCAACAAATTCAAATTCTTACACTCAACTGTACCTGTGCACATGCTTGTCAAATGTGAGGGTGAAAACCTAATGCCTTTGGATAAGATTGTCATTGTTTGCTGTGCAAAAGTGTTGTTTGAGTACCTTATTCTTTACTGTATCTTTTATTTTTAAATAAATGCATGAAACAACTTGATATGGTTTACCAATATTTATTGAGAAATGAATATTTTTTTTGTTACAAACGTGTGCAGTCAAAGTACTGTTTCCAGCATGTAAACATGCCCAACATAGGTAAAAATGATAATAAGAGTCATACTTTTCTTAGTGCAAAGGGACACAAAACACTGCTAAACAACGTGTGCATTCAAAGTACTGTTTCCAGCATGTAAACATGCACAGCATAGGCAAAAATGATCATAAGAGTCATACTTTTCTTAGTGCAAAGGGACACAAAACACTGCTAAACAACGTGTGCATTCAAAGTACTGTTTCCAGCATGTAAACATGCACAGCATAGGCAAAAATGATCATAAGAGTCATACTTTTCTTAGTGCAAAGGGACACAAAACACTGCAAAACAACGTGTGCATTCAAAGTACTGTTTCCAGCATGTAAACATGCACAACATAATAAAATAAATTATAACATAAATAATAATAACAAATAAGACTGTTATTAGTGCAAATGTACAAAAAAACACTGCAAAGGCACACAGCAATAACAATAATACAATTTTAAGAAATAGGAAAAACCTATTCTGCACAACAAGGGCAAAACCATGGCGTGTCACCAGAGGGTTTATTAACAAGCCCCACACAACTGAAGTGAAACCACTGGACTGGGCAGTTCTGGTTGTCACAGGCCACCATGTCACCCTCCTAATACCTAATCGTGATCACGCCCCAGGGTGTAATTTCCTTCATATCGAGCGCGTGAAATTCTGGGGGCGTGCCCCCGTTGCGCAGCCAATATGTCCGACAGGCTCAGAGCCCCCCCCAAATCACCCCAACTCGGCACGTGACTCCTCATTCTCAATATGCTAGTGCTATTCATTGGTTGTTGGACTCACATGTGCCGTGATGAAAACACAGGGGTAAGTCAGTGACACAGGGCCGTTTACATTTGACATAAAGTATAGACACACGTTCTGCAGCGCATTACAGTTTGTACTTATGAGCAGAGATGGGACAACTCAGTTCCCATTGAAACCCATGTAAATCTTGTCTGCATTGGAGTCAAAACATCCTGTGCAGTGTACAGGATATAATAAATAATAATTATATATATATATATACATAATATATATATATATATATATATATATATATATATATATATATATATATATATATATATACCACGTATTGTGATTTCTAGCTCGTAGTGAAAAAAAATATGTATTTGAATATCTCGCAAAAAGAACTGAACTTTGAACAAGTTCAGAATTAAAATTGAGAACTTCGAACGTAAACTGTTCACTTTGAGCATGTATGAACTGAACTTGAGCTAGTTCAGAAAAGCTGTGAACTGGCACAACACTGGCCAAAGCTTTACTGTCATTGGGCCAGAGCAAAATTAAACAAATGTGACGTTACACGTCGGCTACACAGCCAGGCCAGCCTAGCAGTGCACCCAGTGTAGCTTCCCCGGTTGAAATGAGTGGTCTCTCCAACTGATGGTTCATACACGTTTTTATTTGTCCTTTTATATGAGCTGTAACGATGTGATTTTACCTTACTACTTTTTTAACAATAATTGATTAGCTTGTTATAGTTATACACTAATGAACACTTAGTTCATTGTGTGTGTGTGTGTGTGTGTGTGTGTGTGTCTTTATTCTCACTAAACTCCATAAACGTTACTTTGCTAAGCAACGTACAACAATCCTTAAACGTCCGAGATTATATAAACAGTCAATATAAAAAAAAATAAAGAAAACAAAAGTTTTGACAGTCAATCTTAAAACTATTAAAAGAACATCAAAATACAATGACAAAAACCCAAATTTAGAACCTTGTTTGGCCTGAATGGATGAAAAGCTCCCGGCCTGAAATGTTGTCCCACTCCGGCCCTGACTGCAGCCGTGTATCCGGAGCCAGGAGGCCACACGCGAGCACTCCAAGCGTTCCTATGCGGGACAGACGTGGACAGAACAGCGGCTGCCTTTCAGAGTGGCAGCCCTGGGATGGACCACACGTGGAGAGAACCTGAAGGACAGGCACAAATCTTAACATTGTAATTAATAACTAGACTATAGTTTTTGAGCTTACCTGCCAGTGAAAGGCACGCACTCACGGCCAGTGGGAGGAGTTGGGAGAGCCGGTATGGATACCAGACTTGTCCCAGCTGCAGCTTAGGGTCTGGGGCAAACAAGTTTATGCTCAGCTTTGGCTTTGAGAGCCAAGAATGAAAGGCTGGACAATGAGCGACTTACCTCAATAACCCAAATTCGCGGAAAAAAGCCAAAACGTTTCTCCCACGCGCTCCAGCGGGCTCCAACCAAATCAATCTGCCGGTCACCAAACGTGCAACCACCGCACCCAAGCCAAGACTCAAGTGCGCGCGCCAAACACGCACCTGCTTTTAATGCGCTCTAAAACCCCAAGCCAATTATCTTTCAGTGCGGTGCACACCGAATTAGCCATTGCTAACATATAGCATCTTCTTGCCTCACAAAAATGTCTTTACAGGGTGGTCCAAAAGTCGGCTCTTGGCCCAAAGCTTTGTTCCACATGTGTGTCAATGCTGAGGGGATTTCATTTTTTTGGACCACTCTAGTTTAGTTGCTGTGAATTTTTGAAGGCGCTCGTTAAATGAGTGGGGCTCGTGCCGGCTGACGCATGCGCAGATGCGATTTTTCACAATTTTCTTTCTGGGCGGGACCACTCGCGGCCATTTTGGATAGCTCCAGTACAGCACATTTTTTGGCCCATTTGTTTGAACGGCGGAGATAGGCGTGACTACGTCCGTTCATTTTTGCAGTCTATGTTTTATACTTGTACGCTGCTAGATGCTAGAGTTAGAGTTTTTGTTTTATTTCAATTAGTACAGCCATAGGCGCCGTAAAGGGGTGGAAGGTTAGGACGATTCTAAGGGCCCAGGCTGATGAAGGGCCCAGAAGAGCAGACCCTCTTTTTCTTTTCTTATTTTTTCTTCTCTTCTCTTCTTTTCTCTTTTTTATACATACGTTAAATGTGCTAGGGCCCCTCATACACTTAATGTGTATTTTGTCCGTTTTGACCATAGATTTAATATTTAACAAACAAATAATGTATTTACTGTTTAAGTCACACCCCCCTCACAATGGTTCATTCCACCTGCGCTGTCAGAGCTACACTCGCTAGCGTAACGTCTCTTGCTTATTGCATTTGTTATGATGCAGTGCAGATAGTGACACACGCAGGCATGTCACATCAAAAGTCAGGGCATCAAAAACGGAAAGAAAAGAAGGACAGTTTTTCAAAAAGAAAGGTAGCTTGCCCTATTCCTGTATTCCAAAACTTTCACTTACTTATTTTTGTTGCTTACATGACCTGCTTTTATCTAGCTAGCTTAGTAAAATAATTACTGAATTATGATTTACATCCAACAATAATAACATCTCTGCTGTCTCCGGGTTATCATGTCTCGTAGACACAGATTCAGCGGCCGCTGCACACCCACGTCTTCCTTCCCCCGTGGCCCCCGTCCCCGTCTCAGCCAAACAAGGTGAGCCTGAGCGCAAAACTTCACGAAG